TAGAATACCAACATTAAGTGCTTAACATTATTAATCATAAAATACCACATCAAGTTTTTGGCACCGTTATAAAGCAGGGTCAACTTTATAAATTTTAGACAACTATATTTCCATTGGTCAGCAGCCACCGTCAACTACTAATAGTCATAACCTTTTGTTGTCATGGACCACTGACCATGGGCCATCGATGACCACTACTTGTAATCATCGTAATAAAAATATAACCTCTATAACTAAATAGATTTATTATATCAACTAACTACAAACTTTGCAACAGACTACTATTATTACTACTCCTAACTAAGGCCTCTATGGCCAACTAAAATTATTGTAGCCACAGACTAAAACCTTTAAAGGCCAAGTACAACCTTTGTAGCCACCAGCTTCAACCATGTGATTAAATAACATTATTACAGCTTTCAACAACGACGTCTATGACTAGATGTCCCCATTATAATGACTAACTATAGCCTTTATCACCAACTAATATCAATGCAACGACGAACTACAACCTTAGTGGCAAGCCACTATCTCACCACTAAAAAAAATTAGCATTGCTTATTTAAAGAAACATTTAATAAACACACCAAAAAATATTAAAAAAAATGCATAAAAATATTTAAAATAATTGCCAAAAGCCTTTGCAGCTCTAACAATTGTAGAGATTTAAAATCCATTGCAATTAAAATAACAAAGATTTTTACTGTTGTGACTACCTTATAAAGTTCTATGAAAATTGTTTTTTCAGTAGTGCTGATACAGTTTCCAACTCGCCCTCTATAGCTAACGATTGTTATTATGACCATTGATTATAAACTTCATGGCCAACCATTGCTTTTGTAGCAACAAAATATGATCTTTATGATCGATTGCTACTATCATAGCTTTTAACTACAATCTCTATGGTCAACTCTTACTATTGCAACCACTGACTACAACTTTTTTGCAACAATCAACGACGTCATTCATGTCCAATTGTTTTTGTCACAACTTCCAACTACAACTTCTATGGCCAATTACTACTATTACAACTATCATCTAAGCTTTTGTGAATTATTATTATTATTATAGTCAAGAACTACATTTGTTGTAGCTCGATTATGACTATTATAGCTAAATTGCTATTACACATATATGATTATCAGTTTTCTAATTCTCTTTTCTCTAATTTTTTTCTCTAATTAATTAGAAGAGTGAACCTATATAGTTACAATTACACAATAAAGTATTTTAACTGGACTAGGCCATGTAAATTTTTTTTCCTTCTAGAGTTTTTTCACGTAAAAATAGTGGTGTCTTCTGTTGCAAATTTTCTTTTATGCATGTGTGAGTTGGATCTTCGTGTAACACTAAAGTATTAAATCATCACTTTATCATCATAAATTTTTTTTACGCGCAATAATACTTAATATAAAAATTTTATTTTAGTGCTCTAGATCTTCAATTCTCATTTAAATAGAAAATATTAAAGAAAATTAAAGGAAAATTTTGTAATCTTTACGTGATTTCTATTCGTTGAACTCTCTCTTCTTCTAAATGTTCTCTTTCTCTATTTCTTTCGTCTATCTCACGCTTTTGACTCTTTCTCCTTATTATGGAAGATAAGTCTTTATAGTTGTATTTTCTATAGCTATGTATTTACTTATATTTTTCTCTACCTTTTAATCTTTTCTCACTTTTTTTTTCTCAATATTAGTGAGATTTATACATAATTCACCCATATATCTTGGGTGGACAACCAAAATTTAGTTTGTACATTGAGAAATTAAACATCACTTTATCTTCACCTTTCTTATCTTGTTTTAGTTGTAGGTGTTATGAAAAATAATGTTGCTTAGCCTCAAATCAGGAATTTTATATAATTCAGTGAGATTTATTTATTCTAAGATCTAGAATTAGATTTATGACATCCATCAATTTCAATTTGTATTAATAAGATGTAAAATAAAAAAAAAATAGATAGATTTTTTTTTTCATGAATTCCTTTTTCAGTGTGCAAAATAATTAAAAATAAAAAATACAAATAAGGAAATAGAATAGTGTGTTTAGAGAACTCTTTATTTTAAAACCCAAAAATAAAATAATATTTAAAATAATTTTTTCGTTTAAGTAAAAAAATAGACATTCGGATTGGAAGTGACACACCCCTATATGAAAAATTTTATGTCCGGACTCTTGACGTAGCTCTACGTGCGGACTCCAATAATATGTCGTCGCGTGTGCTGCACCGTGGAGGTTATTTCGGGGTTATTGAAGTGAAGTCGCAGAAGTTATTTTTTAATTATTTCGGGGTTATTTCGTGATTATTAAAGGGGAGCCTTTATATTTTACTTCAATAACCCCAAAATAACCTCCACGGTTTCACTTTAATAATCTTGAAATAATATCATGAGATTATTTCAGGATTATTTATGGATTATTGAAGTGAAATATATAAATTTCTTTTCAATAATATTGAAATAACTAAGAAATAAATCCGAAATAATCGAAGATATTTCGGTTTAATAAAGTGAAGTGCATATTTTAAGATTACTTCAAAATTATTTCGGGTTATCAGGAGTCCTCACTTCCGCTTCCCATTTCGAGCTAACTGCTAATCGTACTCCGGGAAACTCCCTACACTTCCCGCCCAATCGGTGATCCCAAACCCTAAACCCTGATTTCCGGCGGACCCAGAGGAGATTGAACCCATCAACCAACAACCATTGCTTTTCGGCGATGGACTTCAAAACCGGTGATTTAGTGGAGGTGTGCTCCAAAGATGAGGGTTTCCATGGCGCGTTGTACGAGGCCAAGGTCGTCCGCTCATTGCCAAGGCTCAACCGCTACACCGTGGTCTACGACTCCATCGTTGAGGAAGCTGACACCTCCAAGCATCTCAGGGAGACCGTCGATGCTGCCCAGGTTCGCCCCCGGCCTGTTTGGGCGCGCGATGGGGCATTCACCGTGCATCAGCACGTCGATGCTTTTTGCAACGATGGATGGTGGGAAGGCGTTGTATCTTGTTTGTTGGGGAGCGTCAGGAGGCCGAAGTATAGCATCAGCTTCCCTATCACCGGCGACGCTATGGAGTTCCTGCCGTCGGAGCTAAGGCCTCATTTAGATTGGGTTAATGGGGAATGGGTCAATCCCCACTCTCAGGTATCTGGATTTGTGACTTTTAAGATTTTCTTTGGGGTTTTATGAATATTCCTTTTGTTGCCTTGTCTTCCTAATAATACAAGATGCATCTGTGCTTGGGAGTATACTGTAGGGAGGCACATTTTCATTTTTGTTGTAAAATTAATTCTTTACCACTTCGATGTGTGGCGTTTTTAATTTATGCTGTCGTACCACTTTGTATGAATGCATTTAGTTTAAGCTCCTTTCACTTTATTCAGGGTTCATCATCTAAATTATCCTCACCGGAGATGAATTGTCAATGCCATTTAAGTTAATTTTTATTTTCGTGGTGTTTTTCTTGCACTCTATTGAATTGACAGTTTACCTTGGTTGAGTATAATCCAATTTTTGTGCACTGTGATTTTGAGTTCATGCAATGACATTTATTCTTCACCCTCTTTTTAATCTTAAAGATATTTACAAACGGACCACTTAATACTCATGTAGTTACCAATCTAATATCCAAATCTTTAAATTTATATAGAACTTATTTATTTAGCACATCAAAATTATTACTCCGTCAATGATCCGTGACATCCCCGGTTAATTCCATTGGAGATAAAGGAACTTACCCACACCTCTGAAGAAGAAGCTCTTGGGTTCGTCTTGGGCATCATCAACCGATGCTTTAATCCTCTACGAAGACCGTAAGGAGAATCAATGATATATATATAATATAT